AAGGTCAAAGATTATAAGGTGGAAATCAGGTAGGCTCACTGTTCTAACCCATTTCATTTAAATAAGTCTTATGAAGCATGCCATATAAGTGAAATCCAACCTTGATAGAAAACTACTCAAGAAGAAAGTAGAAAAATGGGAGAAGCGTACCAGTGGAATTTTGAAAGTAGGCTTACTGTTGCACCATCCTCTCCTACCAGCTCAAGCAAGATTACCAACGGTCCCTCTCAGGACTACACAAACTCAAGAAAAATAATCAACAGTCCTTTTCAGGATTAATTATCATTATCAAATGATCATTATTAATGTTATTCTTTTTATTGTTATTATTATTATTGTTGTTGTTTTTTTTTTATATTATTACATTTATCATTATTGTGGTGACCTCTCTCCATAGACAAACAAGAAGGTTGAGGGATTATGAGCTACAGCACGACCGACAGCTGACGAAAGGAATCATGATCATCATTATCATTATCATCATCATCATTATCATCATCATAATCACATCATCATAATTATAATTGTTATGTTGTTGTTGTTATTATTACATTTATCGTTATTGTGTGACCTCTCTCCGTAGACAAACAAGAAGGTTGAGGGATTACGAGCTACAGCACGACCGGCAGCTGACGAAAGGGATGCTAAAAACATGGAGAGATATCAAGAAGCTCAGAGAGAAGGATAACTGTATCAATACTGCAGTTAAACTCAGCATCAGAAAGTAAGAATACTGTTTAGTTCAACTAATGTCCATATTTGTATGCGCTGACAGCCAGAAGGGCGTCAACTATACATAAAATAAAAATAATAATATTCCGCTTTTATATGGCGCTTTATACATCAATGATGTCTCTTACATCTTACACAATGTATGCACATTTCTTCACTCCCTGGGGAGCATTCCAGCCAGGAGTCATCTAACCACATTAATTTTCGCATCCTACCGTGCACCCATTTAACACCTGGGTGGAGAGTGGCAAATGTAGATTAACATCTTGCCAAAATGAGTTAATGCCCTTCTTGATATCAGCAGATGCATTGACATATGGATCGTTTTAGGAATAATCTTTGAAAAAATATATATTTAGATTGTATCAGTTTCAGGAACTATCCAAAATTGGGAAGTAATGGCATTATAATGCGATGATGAATATTTTGTTGATCAATTATTTCTGTACAAGTGTTTGCATCCTTAGAACTCCATACACCTTCAAATATTTATAACTCATAATTTAACACATATTTATTTTAAGATAAGATAGAAGAGAGAAGAGAAACCATGATGGGGAATATGAAAAGATATAGCAAAATGAAATAGCAAAATGATTTTGAGGGGTTTTGCCATGGAAAATGAATGAATTAAATTGATTTGAATATCTCTGATGTACTTCATCAAACGTGATTGATTTTTGATTTTTTTTCAGGGAAGAAGCAAACGCACATGAAGACGAGGCTGTTTGGAAGCGTGAGATCGAGGACGAGATCGAGGAGATGAGGCAGAATCATGATGATGATTACCAGATGCAGATGGACAGGTACCGAGCTGCTCTACAGGAGTGGAAGGACGGCAACAAAGCAAAGGTACACTTGAGGATGTGTTCTTTGATACTCATGCATGGCCCTACGTGTCATCTGTGTCTGTGATACAGTGTAATATTGAAGCCCTAAAAAAACATTCATGAAGTGCCTTAAAAAAGTAAAAATCTTTGAGTGACCAGTTTTACCATACTCATTTTCAGTTATAAAAACCGTTAGGAAAGCGCAAAAATTGGTTTTGATTTCCAATCATAAATATCTTGATAATCAGACAGGTGATCGTCTTGTAAAAGTCACGGGGTTCCGGACTGACCTAAAGGTTTATAATTATCATTGCAGCATGAGCTAAATCCAGGAATTTGTTTCAGAATCAGAGACAAAGATACCTCCTCCCTTTAAAGGAAGATGGTCATCAGTTTCCGTGTGGAGAAGGTCATAATTTGCTGAAACCAGACTTGGTGGAAATACCACTAATGGGTGTACAAGTCTCGCACATAGCAAACCATAGTTCCATTAAGAAATTACCCCTAGTCTCTCAAAAGGTCTCTCTCTCTCTCTCTCTCTCTCTCTCTCTCTCTGTGTCTCTCTGTCTCTCTCTCTCTCTCTCCCTCTCCCTCTCTCTCTCTCTCTCTCTCTGTCACTAATAATATCCCTAGTTCCATTATAAATGTCTCCAACATGGATCTCCATACCTTATTGGTATTATTCCCCAAAAGACTGTAGTGTTATAAAAATCGTTAGGAAAACCGTTTTTGAAATTTCAATTTGCATTCATAAATATCTTGATAATCAGACAGGCGATCGATTTGTAAAAGTCATGGCGGGATCCTGACTGACCTAAAGGTTTATAATTACGGTATGATTGCAGCATGAGTTAAATCCAGGATTTTGTTTCAGAATCTTAGACAAAGATACCCAATCCCCTTAATGTACAGTGGAGTTGGCATTACTGAAGTGAAATATTTTTAGTGAAATTGAATCGTGAAATAATTAATGATTTAAATCAACCCTCTATTTCTTTGTTAAATGTAGAAAAAGGGAAAGAAGAAAAAGAAGAAGAGCGGTTCTCGGGAGAATTTGACAGAGTCAGGGCAGGAAGAGGAAGATGGAGGTGAAGGGTCAGAGGTCGAGAAACCAAAGCCGATCAAACCGTCAGCAAAGTTTGATGAGGACGAGGCGAGGGAGCGTATCAGAGAGAAGATAGCACTAATAAGACGTAAACCAGGTAATGTGATTGTGATGGTGGTGGTGGTGATTGTGATGGTGGTGGTGGTGGTGGTGATGGTGATGATGATGATGATGATGATAATGATGGTGATGGTGGTGGTGATGGTGGTGGTGATGAAGATGATGGTGATAATGAAGATGATGGTGGTGGTAGTGGTGGTGGTGGTCGTGGGGATGATGGTGATGATGGTGATGATGATGGTGGTGGTGGTGGTGGTGGTGGTGGTGGTGGTGGTGGTGGTGGTGGTGGTGGTGGTGGTGGTGGTGGTGGTGATGATGATGATGATGATGATGTACTTTTGATGGTGATAGTGAGGAAGAGCAGATATCAGCAATAATAATGATAAGTTGATGATTATGCATGATGATGATGATTATTATGATGAAGACTGTGATTAATGAATGAGAGGATGATAAGGATCATGTTGATTGGAATGATGGAGATAGTTGTGTTATTTGAAATCCTCTATAATACTCTAGAAAGTCTGTAAGAATAATTGATCCATGTAATGGCCAATATGCTACATGTATTTCTAACACAGTGAACCGAATGTACATGTCTATTCCAATGTCCTCTACTACAAGTACCTATAACTTAAAGGGGCAAGTAACTATAACTTAAAGGGGGTGTAGCATGGCAAATACTGGTCAACGCCATTTACGACTTCTTTTGGACAACTGCACGTAAACGCTTCAGTTGCGGGTATGTTGCATGCACGTGAATATATACTGCGGTCACGTCGTCCGTAGTCGTATTATACCCGATTGGCCCCGAGTAAGGCCACGGGAAAGACATGTAGCCTTGTCATGCTACACCCCGTTTAAACTGAATGCACTTCTTCCTTTGTGTGTCATCAGGAGAAACCATCCTTCACCTTGAGCTGAGCAACACGGCCGTTATCACTCCCACACCAGACTGCAGCAGACAAGAACAGCAGAGACGGAATGAGATGCAGAGATACCGCTGTTTCATCAAAGTCCTCATCAACGAGAAAGAAGTCTCCAGAACTGCTACAAAGTAAGAATAATTAAAGTCCCACTGTACTTCTTGTAGCTACTTGCTCCCTCAATATAGAAAACAATGCCTAATCGGTGACCATTGGTCCCCCATGATCCTCTTTTTCTTATGTTCATTGAGAGCTGAGTTGATGAGATAGCCACCTCTCAGTGACCTTGCAGGGTGGTCTAATCACTCCTGTAAACTAGTACAGATGGGCTTTAAATGATAATTAGGAAGACTAATTAAATGGTAAATACAGTCATCTTTGTCTTCTATGGTAAAAACTGTATTTTAAGACCACGCAAGAAAGATAAGAAAAGTGGTCTTTATTTATAAGCAGGTGGTCTTTAGACTTCTTGAGTTCACATTGCTATGAGAAAAAGTGTTCAAGAGATAAAAAAAAAGTGGTTATTAAAGACAAGAACATTCCTTGAGGAAAGACCTGAGGGTTACAGTTCACTTTACAACTCCAGAGCACAGGTGACCCCAAATACTTTAATGTCTACAGAAGGTTGAAAGTGTATCTCGTTATGGGATGATTTTTATATAAAGTTTTCTTTGGAGCTATTTTTGCATATAGCTGACCTAATGCTATCTTGTCTATTAGTTTTTATAAATCTTATATTGGTTTGTTTGATTTTGTTTGTTTGACTGCTAAGAAAGCATATGTATGCTTGTAAGTAAGCAACCAGGTCTACGAGGGACTTGGTAATGAGGATTAATGCCTTACCAAAGGGCACTAGTGCACTGTGCACCTCCCAGTTACGAGACCATGAACTGCTGTACCACTGAGCCATCGTGTCTCCTTAATCACACAAGATACATATATGTGTCCTATATATTTCATTTTTTTCCTTTGCTTTTAGATCTATGACTTCGGATTTCACCATGCACTTTGGTAACATCTTCAATGTTCAGATTGTACACTGGCCTGAGACCATCGTGATTCAGGTAGGCCCTCCTGATACATGTTTTGATTGTGTAAATTGTGTTACTCTTGCTTAAGAGGTGTCCTGGGGGTGTTTCACAAAGATTCTAAGTTGAATTTATTTCTAAGTTGGACTTAACAATTATGGAAAGCCGTTAGCATCTTTGAAATTATTTTGTCAAAGCTATTTTTAAAGGCAAAAAATGTTGATTCAAATCATTCACAGTTTCTATTATCAAGGAGATTTCATGTTCTTGATGTGGAATTTATAAAAAGTCTAAAATGATTGACTTTTCGCTTTTGAACACATTTTCTTTTAAGGCTACAGATGGCTCTCCATAATTTTTAAACCCAAGTTAGAGTTAAGTTTGACTTAGGATCTTTGTGAAACACTCCCCTGGTCTAGTGGAATACGTCACCAGACTTGACTGTGGATCACATGGTTTGCAATTCGATTGTAACTAATCATTAAAGTTTCTAAATTGGCAATGCGAAGTAAAAAATAAGATCGTTATTTTCTAGTACAAAGTGGTATTTTCCAGTTAGATTTTGCAATTATTTTCTTCACATTGGTTCCTTTAATAATTTTTTTACCTTCAAAATATGAAGAAAAGGAAAGAAAGATTTAAGTTTTTGCCAATTTATGGAGGGAAAACTGATTAATTTAGAAAATAAGACAATACTGCACTGCCATAATATAATGCTCTGTGTATTTATTCTGTTTTGCTTTCCTTGATCCTCACAGTTGTTTGAGACTGGAGTTCTGAGTAGCAACCATCTTGCAAACGTCTATCTGAACGCGCCGAGCACACAGATGACCTCTGATAAAGTTCACGTTGACCAGTTTGAGTTCAGTAGTGACCAGAAAGTGGAATTTGACCACAGTGCAGTGGGCAGTGGTGAGTGACCAACATGATCGCAAATACTTGATTAAAAAAGAAAATAATCACGGAAACTCACATCTTGGGAGATATGAGCTGGGAACCGTTTCACAAAGCCTTTTTTCAATGACAAGTGACAAAAATCAGTGAGAAATCTGTTGATAACCAATCAGAAGCAAGGATTTCATTAGCTTATAACAACAGCTGTCATTTGTCACTGATGACAAGTTTTATGAAACGCCCCCCTGGTATAGCAGTCATTCACTGCCGTGTCTTTACATGCAACTGACTTGGAAGAACCGGTTCGAATCTGAGTCACGTCTTTCAGATGGTTAGAAAGTCAAATGTAGGTAGAATGCATTGGCTATGAACATCAGAACTTGACAAAGATCCAGATCTTAAGTTTTTATTTAGAAAAACAAGAAACTTGTGGGTCTGAAACTTTACTTAATAAAACTTTAACAGACTTAATTACAGTTTCATTCATTAATGTCAGTACTGAAATTTTACAACTTAAGTTTCTTTAGATATACACTGTATTCATGATTTACGATTGTTTCTGTCCCCTGGGTCCCTAGTGTTCCAGTCGTTGAAACTCAAATGATCACTGTTAATGGATCTTTTGCTGCCTATTTGCTGCATTGACTCAAATTTAATTGACTTGATTTGACTTGAATTGAATTGATTTATTTCCACATTTCCATAAAAAGAAATAACAAAACAATATAAATGATACACATTTGTTATGGACTATGAATGAATTTCCATTTGTTATGGACAATAAATCAATTCAATACAATTCAATTCAATTCATTAATGAAATAGTAAACATTAGAAGAAAAAAAATCAACAAGAACAAAATCAGATATACAGAATCAGATTTAGACTTCAGAAAATATTCATATCAATGTGGGGGATTATAAAAAGTCATGAACTTAAATCATAAGTCCATGTCTCAAAACTCTCCTCTTTGACCATGATCAACAATATATATAATTTTTATGTAAAGCGCTGTGAAACAACATTTAGTTCATAAGAGCGCTATATAAATGACTTTTTATTGTATAATTATTGTAAGTCTATTATTGTATTGTATTATTATTTTAAGTCCATCTTTGTATTGACAAAAATGTATAATTCTTTCCAATTTGTACTGACTGCAGGTATCACATTCTCCATTGGTGAGGAAGATGGTGCACAGAGTTTCAACCTGCTGACATCAGGTAGCTTGTATGCCAGCGTAGCTTGGGGTTTAGCTGACGATGGCTTGCCCCTCATACCGCCAGCCATACCGTCAAACACCTATGCGCTGAGGTGAGTAGTGTGAAACAATTTAATAATAATTATAATAATGATAGGTTAATTTCTATAGCGCAGCTACGATATAATTATACTCTACTGCGCTTAATGCATAGTATTATATTACAGTCAAACCTGTCTATAGCGACCGCCCAAGGGAAACACAAAAAGTGGTCTTTGTAGACAGGTTGCTTCAGTACATGTTTGAATGAGAAACCATTTTCAAGGAAACAACAAATGTGGTCTTTGAAGACAGGTGGTCACTAAAGCAAGTTTGATAAGGCGCTAAAGCATTCAAGGAATTCTTTCGTACCAAGTACCTATTTACTTCACCTGGATGGAGAGTGGCAAATGTAGATTAATGTCTCGCCAAAGGAAATTGGAGCCTTGGGAGGACTCAAAATTACCATGACCCATGTGATCCATGTACAGTCTGGTGACGTATCTACAAGAAAATGAAACCTCTACAGAAAGAAGGAGGGAAAAACGTGAGGTAACCAGGAAGAAAGACTAAGATTGACTTTAAGTTGGACTTAACTATGGCAGGCCATTAATGCCACTGGCTGCTCTCACCATTATGATCTTTAGATAATGTTTTTTCCTTCAATAATGAACTATCAACAAATGTACATTCTGTAGATTTGAGACCACGAACCCTATGTCCCTTAATTCATAGACCAATGCCAGTATCAAAATGGTAAGAGCTAACAGTGGCATGAACAGCCTGCCATAGTTAAGCCCAGCTGAAAGATAAGTCCGACTTAGGATCTTTGTGAAACACCCCTCTGGTCATACATTCTATTAAAAGCTCCTCCATGGGAACAAAGATGTTGCCATACCCGTTTGCATGTAAGTATATTGATATAGTCTCACCTCCACTCCAACTTTTTCACGTTACCAGCTCCATGAAGGGGGTGGATGCCTTGGCGGCCATCGGTGCGACCGGTATCATTGATGATAAGAAGCTGGCTAAGTGGCTGATGGAAGCGCGACTAGATCCCAACGATCCTGCCAACTCCTTCCTGCTGCAGATGATCAAGGTGAGACGAGAACGTGGCACATTTGGCACCGTGGGGATAACCTCTTTTTATTGGTTAATTTAAGGGGAGATTGTAGTCAGTGTCCATGTGCAGAAGGTCATTTTTATTTATTTCATTTTATTTATTTATTTAAAAAACAGGGTAGCCCATTCAACAATAAGTTGGTTTCCCATGGAGCCCTGTGATAACATACAAATCAAAGCATGATTGAACGATCAACATAAACATAAACATAATATAGAATCATAAATGAAAAGAAAATGGCAAGTAAACAAACGAACAACAGATGGAAATTCTCTAAAATAACAGAAATAACAAACATGTAAAAATTAGACTAATATGAAAACATTGGGAAATATTGCATGTGGCCGTATGGCGGACGCAAGAAAAATATTAGACATATGAACATACATGTATGAACAATGACCAAAGTAACGTCTGGAATGAATTTAGAATAATCATTAAAATTACTGGCAAGAGCTATGAATTATTAAAGCAATGCTTCTTTAAGTGAAATTTAAAGGGATTAAGGGTATCTTTTGTTCTTACTTCAATCGGCAAATTATTCCATAGGAAAGGGCCGTCGTAGCATAACGAAGGTTTACGATACTCGGTATGGCATTTAGGGATAATTCAGTCATAATTACATGTAGCTGTCACCAGAATTTGATCTTGAAAAAAAAACGCAAGCTAAAACTAGAAAATAACACCATTCCTTCTCCATGCACCATCCCCACTTTAGAATGACTAAAAAAAGATTGAGACCGAAAACTAAAACTAGAAACTAACAACATTCCTTCTCCATCCCCACTCCAGAATGACAGAAACAAGATTGAGACGAAGGACTACTTTCGCCTGGAGCAGCTCCAGCAGGAGTTTGACTTTGTGACGGACGAGGAGCTGGAGACCAACCGGAGATTCAAGCTCCTCCAGCTGAGAGAGAAGGAGGTGGAGGAGTTCAGAAACTACAAGATGGTGCCTGCGATTGAGAAGGAGATCGCTGAGACCTTCTTTGAGGTGAGAGATAGTAAAGAAATAAGTTGGGTAATTTAATATTTGTTATTTAGAAAAATTTAAAGTAATAAAGAGGGGAAAATAGGTGTCAAAATTATTATCTTTTAACAGCTAGACATTTGGGGTAATTAAGTTTAATTCATGAAAAAACAAGAAAATTGTAAAGCTCAAATATATCCTTTCAAACAATCATTTTGTTCCCCTTTTTATTTTCTGTCATCCCTTTACAGAGTTATTACAAAGGTCTTTTTTTCCCCCCATTTTTCCCCCCATTCTTTTTTTTTGGCTGAGAAAATAATGAAAAACTAAAAAAAAGATAAATTCCTCACATTTCTTAACAAGACTTTAATGATTTCTTGGGGCATATTTGCAATGTTAAGACCTAAGAACACATATATTTCTTGTACAAAAATGATCAAAGAAAGTCTTAAAAGTGATTGGTGGGAAAAATAATTTGATCTGTATTGTGACTTGTATATTGCAGGAGTATGAAATGAAGCTGAAGAAAGAGGAAGATGGGTTGGTTGATGAAGACATGGATGCAAGGAGAGCTCAGGTTGCAAAGTTCATAGCACAGGTTGGTCCTTCAAACACTTTCACCCCTGTACACCCTACTGGGCCCCGTCTTAAAAAGAGTTATTAAGTTGGATTAATATCAACTCGCCTGTTATTTTTGCAAATCCCATGGTTGGTCCAAATTTGTATAAGATTATCTTGTCTTGAAAAAAAACATTATTTGCAGTTTGTAAATATGTTATGTTCCGAGAGTCAATATTTTGTTCTACTTTGCTATTACTGACTGTTAATTGTGATGAGATGCACAAACATTATAGTTATGTAGCACTTTCTATTTCTTTTACAATGTACAAATGCACACTCTAAAGGGAAATGTTTTGCATTGCTTCAAAACACCTGAAAAAGAAAATCAGTTACAAGTACAAAATCTGCTGTGCATTGCTCTGCCCAAAACTATGGAATCCAAGAACATTTAGAAAAATTAATTAGGCCCCCCCTCCAACCCCCCAAAGAACAATAATAGCTAGTGTAGAAGGCCACTGACACTTCTTGTGTAGTGCAACACAAATATATGGCACATGATGTTTTAATCTACAGTGTATGCATCATTTTCTTATTGAAATATTAGTGATCTAAAGGTACATTATTTGAAGTAAAGCATTGGTTAATGAGGAGGAAGGGAGGGAGGGGGGGGGGGGGTGAGGATGAGGATGAGAAGATCCTACAAAATCTGTAAGGAATTCATTTGATTCATGTTCATGTGCACGTGTTTGTCTACATTTCTGATGTGCTGCAAACGGATACATGTATATTGGGGGGTGTTTCATAAAGAGTTACGCCTGATTTTACGAACGACTTGTATATGAAGTGCCAGAGAGGATGCCCTAAGTTTTTTCTGATATTTCCAATAACCTCAATTAAATTATGGCAAAAAATATACTTTGCATTAAAAATTGTTGTTATAATAAGAATGTTAATCTAAATCTGCACAGTTCAACTTAATAAATAATAATCAATAAATATTGAGCATCCCATTTGGCTTTTCATATACAAGTCGTTCGTAAAGTTATACGTAACTTTACGAACAGCTTTATAAAACACCCCCCAGGCCTGATAATTACCCAATTTAAATCGGTTTCCCAATTTTTAATTTTTTTTTCCTGATTTTATCCTGATTTTTAATTTTTTTTTTTTCCTGATTCCCCCCTCCCCGATTTTATCCTGATTTTCACGATTTTTCCTGATTTTCTTACTCAAAAGGGGTTATGTTAGATTCCATTACCCCCCCCCCCCCCCCCCCCCCGAATCCTCTTTTTTCTTTTTTTACTCAAAGGGGATGTGGTTGAGGGAGACAAAAAAAAAAACTTTTATTTTAGTGCTCACTATCACTCGTGTGTGTATATGAAATTGACCTTAAAAGGTTTCTCTTTTGATAATGTAGTCCTATGCATGTAAATGTATGAGTACCCGTAGTTGTACTTTTCCTGACATGGGATTTTCGACAAGATTCAAGTGTTTTGATTGTTGTTTATTTTGACACTGTCAGATTCGTAAGCGAGTGATTCAGAGGTACCGAGCTGCTCAGCATCGCTACACACTCCAGGACATTGTCAATGAGAGCTTGGTACCTGATGTTAGGTGAGAAGACAAACTCTTTCTTCCTCTCTTTCTCTCTCTCTCTTTTTTCTTCTCTTTCCCTCGCTCTTTCTCTCGCTCTTTCTCTCGCTCTTTCTCTCGCTCTTTCTTTCTCTCTTTATTCACCTTTCCTCTCTTTCTCTCTCTTTCTCTATCTTTCTCTCTCTTTCTCTCTATCTTTTTCTATCTTTTTCTATCTTTCTGTCTCTTTCTTTCTTTCTCTCTCTCTCTTTCACTCTCTCTCTCTCTTCAACTTTCTTCTCTTTGAACTGAGGACCTTTCCCTCTCTTGCCAAGGGTTTAAACCACTAGACTATAACACCTGCCTTCTCTTCCTGCGTCTTTCCTTGTTTCTCTCTCTCTCTCTCTCTCTCTCTCACTCGCACACTCTCTTTCTTTCCCCCTTCCCCCTCTATCCGTCACATCTCTCACCCCTCTCTCTGTCCCCCTCTTCCTCTGTATCTTTTATTCTCTTGTTTTTAATTCATTAGTTGTAAGGAATATGTCAGACAAATAATTCTAGTCAAAGGGTTTATACATCATCAGTGAATTTGCAAAACCTAATATCTTTTTTAATACTTTTTTCTTCAATATTTTGTATTCAGTCTACTTGGAGACACCTTAGCGAAGCTGGTAGAGCCACGTCGCCCTCTCAAGCCTCAGCGCAAAGAGCGTAAGACGGTCACGGCGCAGAACCTCACCGCCCAGTCGGTCAATCTCCTCATCAACATTGAAAGAGCGTTTGAAATCCCAACAAGGAAACCGGATCCTAAGTAAGTAGTTATGAAGAAGAAAATAGAGCAAACAACAGATATTACTAAGACACTATTGTTGTTTTTTTCAATACAAAAAAAAGCCCCACTGCACTACTTATAGCTACTTACGCCCTCTATATAGCAAACAATGCCTAATCGGTGAACATTGGTCCCCCATGATCCCCTTTTTCTTATGTTAATAAGAGAGCTGATTTGATGAGATAAAACTTGTGCAGTGGGGCTTTAAAGAAAACATATTTTTAGCGATCCATCACCATTTGAGCCATTGAATACTCAGCCTGACATCACTTTGCCTGGCTGGAGTCAATGGATAATGCTTCATCTACCCAAATCAACTGGTATTCAACTTTAAGAAACATGCTGACAAATGACTTGTTGAGGACAGCACTTAATGCAAAAGATTGTTAATTGCAAATGTACGGTCTGAGATATACATATTCATGAAGGTACAGTGTCATCCAATCAAATTACTTTTAGATCATCAAACTCGCAATGTTGATAAATTATGCAAATATAAAAAAATTGATTGATGCAATGTGCATAAATTCTTGAATAATACATATTTCTATTGAACTTCACAGGCAGTCTGGTCAACATGCAGAGGTGAGTATAATTTGTAAAAACAATTTTTGAAGACGTAAAGACACTTTGGTCTTTGGAATTGGAAGAAAATTGTTAATTAGAAGATTATGAGCACATTTATATTAAGGGCTATATATAAAAACTAAATTTGTTTTACTACATGTTTAACACTATTACATCATGTTCTATTCATTGCAGTTATAATTGTTACAACCGGGACCCTGTCTTATAAAGAGTTGATATTAATCACACATAAGAGATAGGAGACTGCAAACTTGTGATTGATTTAGATCAAGTGCAACTCATTTTAAGACGGAGCCTTGATTGTCATTTCAAAAAAATAAAATCAGATTTAAGGTAGGTTGTAAGCATCAACAAACTACAGTTGTCTTCAGGTATTTATTACAGTTACATAATTATTAAACAGAATCTGAAATCTTCAAATTAAAATCTGAAAGTTATAATTTTTCGGCATCATCATGTAATGTGTTTGTCTATCAGGTGCGTCCATTCGTTGAGGTTGTATTCCAACAGACGACTAAACAGACCTGTGTCGCTGAAGGCGCCAATCCCAATTGGAACGAGGAGCTTGCTCTGCCATTCAAGTAAGTTATCAAAACAATTTCAATTATTGAAAGAATGGAGATATCTCTTGTACAAGTATATTAGGCTAACCAGTCAAGGTTATGTACATGTATTGGAAAAGATGTGTTTTTTTCTTCTCTTTTACATTTACATGTAGATAAAGCCAGACCTTTGTACATGTAGATAGATTGATAACATTAGAACCTTAAAAAAGTAGTTAATTGCAACACCAGAAGAATCCAGGTATACTAGTGTTTTTTTACATGAAATTTCTATATGAAGTATGGTGTTTATATACTGAAATTAGATATACGTATTTTGAAATTAATGACTTATATCATTAAAGCCTTATTTTTACGCTTTTAATTGGATTCACGCTGGCTAGCGTACAGTGTTTTTACATTTTCCACTCCCTGCTCAATGCTGACCGAACTATCTTGACATCCTCAACAGGGCTCCCAATAACGACTACTCCGCTAGCAATCTGCAGACGGTTAAAGATGAGATCTACATGAACCTGTTTGACGAGACGGTGATTGATCTGCTCCAGGACGACCGTGACAGGACGACCAACATCCACCAGAGGCTGGAGAAGAGGTGGCTCGGAAGCCTCAGCATACCCTTCTCAACGATCTACTTCCAGGGCAAGGTGAGGATGACCAATGGTATAATGGGCGTCACTAATAACGATAGTCTAGATTTATAGAGCGCTTAATACAAATACTGTCTCTGAGCAATATTATATACCTCACTCAAGAAATCCAGCCATCTGATTGGTCAAAATTAGAGTCGTGATTGTAGCCATTCCCGTAAAGAAATGAAAAAACCGGTTAATAGTCCAGAGTGAGATCCCTCAAAATTCTTGTTACCATGCAAATAGTTAAATTTTGCTGCGATACCCAATGGTTTACGTGTTAAAATTTTCTTTGAGCGAGTGCAGACACCATACAGCGCTTTATGTCCGCGATTCCCAACTGATCGAAAATTTCAGTCAATTTTCCAGCAAAGATAAACAGACAGTTTCTCAAATTTTCTGTGATGTTTTAACCAATCTTTTCTCAATAAAAACGATAAAGTAAGAATTCTTGGTAAAATATTCTTGGTAGATATTTGTTTGAATTCGGCATATAAAAGACATATCAACTGCTTTAATATTCGAGGTCTGTTTTTCTGTTATCAGGTGGCAGGTGCTATTCGAGTGGAAGCCCCCTCCTCTCTGCTGGGGTACGAGAGGACCAGAGAGAGTGCAGGGAGGGGGGCAGCCAATGCTACCTACCTCTCCGTCTTCATCACCGTTGAGCCTCCTCTTGCCCCTCCAGAACTACTAAAGGAAAAGGTCAGTTTTTCAAACGAGGGTTTGACCATAGAAAGGCCTGTAGGCCTATTATCGATCCCACCATTATCTGTTATGTTATATTTATGTTGGATTCTTGTTTTTTTTTTTTATTGTTTTGTATTTTTATCAGATTGTGGAAATAAACTTGAACAAAAACTTGAAAAGCAATTTTTGTAGTAATATGTTCCTCTTGACCCTCTAGAACTCTTTAGGGAAAGGGTGAGTGTTTTTCAGTCATTGCCATTCCTTAATATCCATTGATCGTACAGGTAAACTTGTATATAAAGACCGCTCAAGGAGGACTAACGAAATCGGTCTGTGTTGGCAGGTGGTCTTTATGTACAGGTTCATTTTGTGCATGTTTCCACATACTATGGGATGGTATGTTGAATATCCTTCATGACACTATTCTTTGGTATCTGGTTCTAGCATTGAATTCATATATTAATGACTTGTCAAAGGAATTTTAAAAATACAAACAGAGAAATAATAAAAGAGCAAAAGAAATAAAGAAGAGAGAGACAAAGGAAATTGAAAAAGAGCGAGACAAAAAAAGCATAAAGGGCAATATATTTTTGTTCAACAAAGACTATCACATTAGGTTAGTTTACCATCTAATTAAAGATAAATCCTTATTTCCCTCACACACATCATTTTCAACAATGTTCAGCCTGATACTAAGTTATTTTTTAAGTAAAGCAGAAAGATGAGAGAAAAAACAATTAGTGAAAATTTAAGCAATATCCAATAGGAAAGTTATGAACTTTTGAAGTTTTCATCAGTGAAACACAAATTGGCAACTCTGGGATGCATCTTGCGACCTCGTCTCAAATTTGCTCTGTACAGAAAATTTTACTTTCCCTCATTAATTATCTTTGTAGTTTGAAACCCTTGAAGATGATGAACTGTTGAACCAAGCTGAGCTTCTCCAGGCCCACGTCTCGGCAAAGTTCCCCACACGTCAGATCACGCCTACAGTGATCGACATGAATGGCAGCTCTGTCTTTGTGACCAGGTACTTCAGAGCCCTGGCGCCGCCGCCCGTCTTGATTGAAGGGAGTGACCAGACTCAGATTTGTGTGAGTTTTGAGACTCTTTAGGGATTAGTGACTGGAAAAACTTAGTGACTGAATGGATTGAAGTTTAAACTGAAGAGGAGACTGTGTTAACAAATTTGGTGTGATTGAAACAGAAGAGAGAGAGAGAGAGAGATTAGGAAAAGAGAGGGAGAAAAGGAGGAGGAGGAGGAGGAGGAGGAACTTCTATCTTCAGTGAAAGTGCGTTGCACTGTGTAGATAGTAGCCTATCTACACAGTGTAACAAACTTTTTGCTTCTCCCAGCAATGATGGGCGAACTATCTTTCATCACATGATTTACTTTTGACCAATCGTAGAACAAGATTCTTAGTATGTGGAATATATATAGAGACTATTTATTAAGCGCATAATAAATTGAAAATTTCTCTATGCGCTTTACAATTATGACTATACATCTATCTCTTTGTTTTCTTATAGGAGAGGATAACTCGTTTTGTATCTCTCATCCCGTCTATCTCGGACAGTGTCTTGTTCATACATCTTTCTCTTTGTTTTCTTATAGGAGAGGATAGCTCGGTTTGTATCTCTCATCCCGTCCATCTCCGACAGTGTCCTGTTCCCAGGAGTCTGTAACATCTGGAGTACATGTCAGGTGAGTTGTAGAGTCAACGCACAAAATAGCTTTGCATTGGTCTAGCCATTGAAGCTTGCTGCACTCTATGACCCCTATGCCTTCCTGTAGCTGCCCCACTGAAATACTGCGTTTGTAATTTTGTACTAAATTGGCTTCAATTAAGGAATCATTTATCAATGTTAAGTGTGAGATGCATGGCCCTACGTGTTATCAGTGTCTGTGATATGGTGCCTCAAAAAAGTAAAAAATCTTGAAGTGACCAGTTTTACCACACTCATTTTCCTTAATAGACTTTAGTGTTATAAAAAGCGTTTGGAAAACGAAAAATGAAATTTCGATTTCCAATCATAATTATCTTGATAATCAGACAGGCGATCGGCTTGTAAAAGTCATGGAATTCCGGACTGACCTAAAGATTTATAATTGTGATTGCAGCATGAGCATAAATCCAGGATTTTGTTTCAGAATCTGAGGCAATGTTACCGAGTCACTTTAAGGCATTTCATTCCTTGAAAAAGAAAATTACATCTTTTCCTGAATCTTGTTACCATGACAGCAATTTATGTAGATGTTGCAGGGTGATGAGGAAGAGCATGCCGTTCTCCTGGTCAACTAGAAGGAGAAGAAGAAGAAGAAGAGGGTGAAGAAGAAGAAAAAGAGCAAGAGAGAGAGAGAAATAATATATAAAGCTGAGAGAATATTTTTAGTGAATAGATTGTAATGATCTCCTGGTGTGTGAAGCATAATGACTAACTTTATTTAAATGAATCTTGTTACCATGACAGCAATTCATGCAGATGTTGCAGGGTGACGAGGAGGAGCACGCCGTGCTCCTGGTCAACTACTTCCTCCATCTCAACAAACGGGCGTGGCTGATCCTGGGGAGGGCGATCCCCGAGGGCCCCACGGCTTATGCCCTCTCGGAGGAAGGGGACGGCCAGTACTGGATATGGAACCCTTCCACCGGGGAGCATTACAAGGCTACCGATAGCTTCTGCCCTCTCAAGGCTGTCGATTGCCTCATCAATCAAGACAATGTGAGCGTACACTCTTTTTACAGTCATGGACCTGGGGGTGTTTCATAAAGCTGTTCGTAAAGTTACGCATGACTTTACGAATGACTTACATATGAAGTGCCAGATACGATGCCCAACGTTTTTTCTGATATTTCCAATAACCTCAAATAAATTATGGCAAAAAATATACTCTGCATAAAAAATGGTTGTTATAATAAGAATGTTAATCTACATCTGCACAGTTCATCTTTATAAATAATAATCAATAATGATTGAGCATCCTATTTGGCTTTTCATATGCAAGTCGTTCGTAAAATCATGCTTAACTTTACGAACAGCTTTATGAAACACCCCCTCAGATATGATATGAGTAATTCCATAAATTAGGGACCCAATATGTGACATTTTTGGTGTCCCTGTTACATAACGAATCCACACGTGGCTCTGAGTTTTTGTAAATACCATATAGTATTTGTTGCTATATCAGGCATGCTTTACTTATTTGTATATCTGTCTTGGGAGAAAGCTTACTTTCCCTCGGCGGGGTTGGGAAGGTGTTGATCTGTTATCTTCTTTCTTTTGAATGCAGTCAAGTATGTCATCAATCAATGTAAGATCAAATTTGTTGTCACTCAACTATGACACTTAAACTGTATCATGCTAATTGTTATATTTCATTCAACCTGTATGTGTAGTATTACCTTCTTGCAAATTACATGATAATTTACTCAGATTGTCAACCTTCTGTTCTTCTTTTCACCTGTCCATAGATCTGGGCAAATATCCAGATTCAAGAAGAGACAAGTCGACTCAATTTTGATGTCGGAAAGTCGACCGCTTGGAAACCTCTCTTCACCAGTAGCTTCCCCAATCCAGGTCTCTCAAGCATGCAGGTATGTTAATCTATGTATATACAGTGCGTCCCAGAAAATATGAACACCGAGAATTATTGATGTTTTATTATAACTTAATCACAATTTTGATTAATAAATGTCACATATTTGTAAAGCTTAGATCCTCTTCTTTCATTTGATGCAACTCATATAATGCATATTTCACACATGAGTGATTAAAAACAATTTGAAGAGAGGGTACCAAAAAGTCATTTGGCGGGTGGTATTTGAATTTCAAAGAGAAAATCACATTTCTAGAAAAATCATTTTCTGCCTCTTTCATGTGACACCTCAATCAGGAAAAATGAGCCAGGAATAACAAAGTTCTGTTGCATTTCCATAGTTTGATTAAACTAATTCATTTTCACTGGTTGACTTCCGTAGCAACAAACAGAGTTGACAAAAGACTTAACTCTGTTTCGTTGACGATCGGCCATGCACAAAGAAGACAAAAGTCTTTGTGACACACTCCCCCGATCTAGTAAGAGATTTCTATTCTTGCATCTTGTAGGAGGAAACGCTACGTTATGAACAGACTGTACTGGACGATGTGGTGGATCTACAGAACAAGTAAGTGCAAAATGGTCATTTAAAATTGAAACCCCCATTTAACTTTCATCACTTCTAGAGCTGAGCTTGCAGTATAAGCCTAAATAAACACTAGCGCTGCGCAGAAGAGCATTTGTGAAATAATTTCACTCTTGCTCCTCCAGCAGTGTCCACTGAAACGGAGGCGACGGTCTCTCAGTCTGGCTGAGATCGGTGTAATGACCCTCTACAGTTCAATATTGGTCATATGGTCACTCCAGTTGACATTTAGTGCTGCTCTCAAGAGTCTTGTATAGCAACCATCCAGTTGTTTTGCCAGGCTACTCGTCAATGTCCAGGCTTCTGATCCATAGAGCAGTACAGTTTCCACTGAAGCCCTAAAGAAACGGACTTTCAGTTTTCTACCGAGGTTTGATTTCCAAATGGCAGTCAGCTTGTTCAAAGCTGTCCAGGCTTTCGCCTTTCGGATATTCAGGTCTTGTTTTGACTGATCAACCCACGAGCCAAGGTACTGAACGTCTTGGACCTGCTTCAGCTTGTCCTGTCAGCAGTACAGATCTCTGGTGCATGCATAATACGGTTTGTGATCTCTATCCTCCATTCCCCCCCCCCCCCACAGGATCGAGAAGAAGCTGCGTAACTGCATCATGGACTGGAGGCCGCGTCACATCACCCGCTGGAACCGTCATGTGATCCACACGTTCAGAGAGATCCTCAAGAAGCTGGAGAAGTCACCTGACCTGCTAGACAATGACAACCCCACCCTCAAGACTATCCTGGAATCATACAATGTAAGGCACTTGGTTTTTTTAGGCATGCAAAGTGATGATGATGAATATATTAATTGTTTGAACAATTCTAATTTATTCCATTTCGTATTTCAATTGTTTGCACAATAAAGAACATAGTTTAATCATAAAATTAAATAAAAAACAACTGATAAAATGATGACAGCCTATTGATAAAAAGATAACACTAAGCTTTTAAAAAAAAATGTTGTAGCATAGCTACATGTACCTTGATAAAACACTTAAAGTCCCACTGCACTAGTTATAGCTACTTGGGCCCTCTATACAGCAAACAATGCCTAATCGGTGCTTGTTGGTCCTCCATGATCCTCTTTTTCTTATGTTAATTGAGAACTGATTTGATGAGATAACCACCTGCCAGTGACCTTGCAGGGAGGTCTTATCCCCCTGGCCAAACTATTACAGACGGTCTTTAAGCTTTCAGGGAATTTCTTCCATTTACTTCACCTGGGTAGAGAGCGGCAAATGTCAGTTAAAGAATTGCCAAGGGGCGTCAGTGCCGTCGCAGGGATTTAAACACCATGCCATGTGGCCCTCAGTTTGTTTCCTTATCTACTACTCCAAGACATCTGTACCAAAATGATATATCTGCCTTACAGTGTAGTTCAAGAGGGGCAACAGAATGCCTTGTAATCTTTAAAAAGGATATGGGGATAGAAAAATTGAAAAGGATTTAATAGCATGTGTTAGAAGTGTCGTGGTCTAGCGGATATGCCACCGAAATGTGGACAACATGGTTTGCGGTTCAAGTCCTGCCCCGACACTAATGCCCTTTGACAAGACATTAATCTACATTTGCCACTCTCCACCCAGGTGTTAAATGGGTACCCGGTAGGAAGAAATTCCTTGAATGCTTAAGCGCCTTATCATGGCGGCTCAGCTACAGCCAGGGTATTAGTATACCTTGTATTAAGCGAAGTAGAGTATATTCATATAGTGGCTACGTTATATAAATAGACCTAATATTATTATTTTATGATAATTATTGTTTATGTGCCGAAAACTTTTGTGTTGAGTACGATAGCGAAAAATATTCTTTTTCATAATTTCTCCTTCCTTCTTTGATCTTGTTCTTCTTCACCTTCTCATTTTCCTTCTTCATTTTTATGATTAATTGATTTTAATCCTTATCTTGTTTCTTTTTCCAGTTGTGTGGCTTCCCTCTCCACATGTCGTACACTGACGTCAAGACCATCGTGGACAAAGTTCAGAGTACGGGAGTCCACAAGAACGAGTCGAACAATGTCGAGTTTGCACTTGCCGTCCACATCCACCCCTACCCCAACCACATCCTCTCTGTCTGGATCTACCTAGCGTCCGTTACAAGAAGGAGATGATCATAATGTAGCGTACAAGCTCTTCAACACTCGCCCTGACAACACTTCATTGCTTTGCTGCCATATTTTAATACTGTTAAACCTTGTTAGTGAACAATTTTATAATAAACTCTCATTATTTCAAAATCTTGGCATTTCCCTGTTGAGGCTCTACCTTACTAACCAAATTTCTATGTTCAACAAAGTAGAGTTTGCGCTAGCCATCCAAATATACCCTTGCCCGAACATATGATCGATCTACCTAGCGTCTGTTACAAGAAGGGGATGATCGTAATGTAGCGTACAAGTTCTTTAAAGCGGGACAGCTACTTGTAGCTATTTGCGCCCTCTATATAGCAAACAATGTCTGAGTGGTACCCGTTGGTCCCCCATGATCCCCTTTTTCCTTATTCTATAAAAGGGTAAAATTATAATGAAGCTATAATGCCAATGAAATAGTAAATCAGACCATGTTCAACTTATTCGTTGCATTAGATTGGATTATCTATTTATGCAATTCATATGAATTTCCCCCCATCATCAATGATGAGAACTTGGAGTGTATTTCAGTAAGAAAGAATCTTGACTTATGTGAGAATGTTTACTTTGAGATCATTCTATTAAAACTTTTACTCACAGCAACGAAGGTCGTTCATGGACATATGTATTCATAAGTGCAGATAATTTGTATGTATATTTATAGCATGTACATGTGTATATTGTACAAACCATTTGATTAATTTATGAATAAATTGTAATAATGAACTTTATAAACTCAGATTTGTATTACTTTGAACATGTGTAGTTTGAATGTGACTACATGTAGTATGGAAAGGGATTGGAGCGAGAGCGAGAGAGAGAGATTGTGTGAGAGAGAGAGAGAGAGAGAGATTGTGTGTGAGAGAGAGAGAGAGAGATTGTGAGAGAGAGAGAGAGAGAGAGAGATTGTGAGAGAGAGAGAGAGAGAGATTGTGTGAGAGAGAGAGAGAGAGAGAGGGAAAAGGGGGGGGGGGGAGAAAGAAAGATAGAGAAATGCAGACAGACATAGAGAAAGAAATGTAAAAACACAAATAGACAGTACCAGAAAGAGAGAGAGAGAGAGAGAGAGAGAGAGAAAGAGAGAGAAAGCAAGAGAAACAGAGAAAGAGATAGATATATATACTATCGATTCAATCACCTCCAGAGATACAATACAACATAGAAGTAAAGAAACACAGATAGTTACATAGATACATATAATGTTTATTGCATATCATTTCAGGGGGAACACTAAGTACAATATATATTTGGCCTCTCATAAAAAATAGATGAACATCGACCTACATGTAATCCAGTATACATTCTGCAAATATTCTACACATTCTGGCAATTTTCACTATATCTTGCATTAGTTAATGGCAGAAACTTCTTTTCTGTGGAAATCTACAAAAAAATAATAATCTTAATACGCAATACTCAGTTTGGAATTTCCTTTAAAAATAAGTACAAGCGTACAAAAGTACTGTCCCAGTATGTTTAAGTTAAATGCAATTTATTATGTATAACCATCAGCTAACCAAAATTTGTATAATGTTTTTCATTCTTTGTAATGGGTGTATTAACTTGTCAATAGCGCTTAGAGACTTCGGTGGTAAGCGCTTTAAAAGTAACGTTTTTATTATTATTATTATTATTTAAGTCACATAGGCTTTTACTGATGCACCCTATTTCATTTTCCAACAATGTGTATTTAAATGTTATTACTTTGTTTCACATATTTAAGTTGATTTTTGTATGTACATTGTAAATATTTATAACCTGTTTTTGTTTTTACTGATTTTGAATAAAATCCATCAATCAATCACTTAATTACAATACTGTGATTTATAAATCATCTGTTCCTGAGGATGTACAGTAAGCGGCTGCATAATGGCACACTGGCTAAAACATGGTTGGTGAAGAACTTGCTATGCTTTCTAATTTCATATTCATTTGAAATATTAGAAAACTAATTTTGTTTACACACAATTTGATACAATTTTGATAGTCACTTTCTATTTCTACACATACATTACATAATCTCTTGTACATTTTACCATAGACTTACTTAAAAAATATGTTATGTTCCACATGGAATCCTATACATTCTATGATTGCACTGAACAGACTGAAATTTTACCTTGTGGCTTTCCTAACTAAATATTGGTACTCACAAAGAAAACATTTCTCATACAATGTTTAGGGTGAGCCTGCATCAGCCTATTTCATTTCATTAATGTTTATGGAAAATACATTGACTATGGATTGCACAGGGAATTATCATAAGACCTAATCAGAGGAATTTACTCAGATTTTCATAACAAACAATACATACTTAAATTGTAAAATAGTCAAGATGGAAGGCAGTTCATACGTCGTTGATCATGATCATATATACTAGCTGAGAAGAAAGACATTAACGGCTACAATTGCTCATCCAAATATCTTGTTTGTTGAAAACCAAAATGGGACGAACTCTCTGTAAAAATAATGAGTAACACTCTCCTGACTTTCAACAACCTGACAAACCATTCTTATCAATTCTTTGTGAGTAGACCTCATCTCAAGTTCAATTTCAAGTTTTTTGTTATTGTTCCAACCCATACATATAAAATAACAAATCATACAATACATGTAGTATAAATGAGCACGTCTCAATGATTCTCAATTCATATAATAGATTAAGTAGAATGTGAGGAACCTATTAAAAAGCATGCAGTGTAAAAAGCTTGTATATTATAGGTTCCTGGAAAAATTAGTTTTGTAGAAGAAAAAACGTAGCATATAGAGAAGGACGTAATCAATGGCTCCGATTGCTCATCCAAATATCTTGTTTGTTGAAAACCAAAATGGCATGAACTATTTGTAAAAATAATGAGTTTCATCCATCTGGCTCTCAACAGCCTGACAAACCATTCTTATCAATTCTTTGTGGGTAGACCTGTACCTCATCTCGGTGTTCAACAGATGTAAAAGGGAGTCCAGTCTCATGGGAGAGCTATAGCTTTATCCCTGTGAAGCTCTTCTACCTGAGACTGCGTGTATCCAAGAAGATTGGTGAGAATGTCTGCTGTATGCTGTCCAAGTAAGGGAGAGGGAAAGTTTTCTTTGGTTGATATGGTGCTGTATTGGACGGCATGACCTGGAGAAAAAAAAACAATGGCAGAAGTATAACATTAAAGGTATTGTTTAACAATGTTAAATCTGAGATGCATACATAGCCTACATGTTATCAGTGTCTGTGATGTGGTGTAATATTGAAGCCCTAAAAAAAAATAATGAAGTGCCTCAAAAACATTAAAAAAAGATCAGGATTTCAGCAGTTTGAATTAACCAAATAACTTCAAAAAAGTGATTTTTTTTTGTTACAGGTGATATTCTGAATATAATAATCAACATTTCCTGTACGTTTCAGCTCATTTAAAGCAAATGGGAATCGGCGGCGAATGTATTAATGGCCGAAACCCCCTTCACCCATATATTCTACTGGTGGATGTTTCACAAAGATCCTAGGTCAAACTCAACTCTAAGTTGGACTTAGAATTTATGGAGAGCCATTTGTAGCCTTCAAACTTTTTTTTATTAATTCCACATCAAGAACATGAAATCTCCTTGATTATAGAAAATTTGAATGATTTGAAACAACATTCTATGCCTTTTAAAATAACTTGTACAAAATATTTTCATAGATGGCTTTCCAGAATTGTTAAATCCAACTTAGGATTGTTGTGAAACACCACCCTATACTACAGAATGGAACCCCAAATCCACAGAGCAAAAGCAATTTTTGTTGATTGGTCTCCCCAAACTACCAAACTTGCAAACAATTAGGCATCATTTCTTACCTGGTACCCTCATTGTACCCGCTGTCGGATGATCAATCTCCTGAACCAGGTCATTATGTTTGACCTGGGGGTCATCAAACACCTGACCCATCGTGTTGATTGGTCCATAAGGGAAGCCACACCCCTCCAGCACTTCCATCCAATCGCTGGTCTTCTTCTCCGATAACCTATGGATGACAAGAAGGATCAGATGAACACCACTAGGTATGTCTTCATCAGCTCGAGATTGCCAAATAGCCGGCTACATGTATTTCTGATTTCGGAAATAAACCCAAAGTTACAAATCGCGTCTTCATCAGCTCAAGACTCGACCTCGAAACTTGAAACTTGAGCTCGAGAAATTAGCTTAATTTGCGATCGGGATAGTTCAAATAGCGGAATATTTGGCAATCTTGAGCTGACGATGACAGGCCTTCTGACTACAAATGCTGATAATCTCTACTCACATTCTCGTACAATGTGTTGTTCTCATTGAAAGATTAATGATGCATAGAAGTGGGCTCTCATGGGGAATTCAACACCATTCGAGTGTTAACCCAATAACAGGAGTTGTTAATCACCAGGACTAGCCTTTAGTTTTATGAAAAACAGGCTTTATGTAATGCTGTTTTATTCACTTATCCCCCCGCAAAATTACTCAAAGTATGCCCTTTTTCTCATATCTTATTGTGGCAATTACAATAGTTTTATATTTTTTCTATGGGAGGACATATGGAAATGCAACACCCATAATGCATCATTAACAAAAAGTCTACATTACAAACCCATACTTCAATAATTCAATATGTTCATGAAAAACTATGGAAAACATAGGCATACATGTTTTAGCAAGGTAACTACATGTATATCATATTACACTCAAAGGTAATAAATATTAAAGCATTAAAATAAAATCAATATGGGGTAGGTTTTCCTAATTACCTTTTCGACAAGACAGGTAGAAGCACATCTCTATTTAGAACCCTTTGTGCATTGGTCTTGTATTGAGGGTCTTCAGCTAGCTCAGGGAGACATATCCTCTTGAGAAAAAAGAGAAAAAGAAAGTAAATAAAAACATCCCAAAATAAACAAACAAGTATGTTTCTTGTGTCCATTGAAATGTATCCAAATTGACAATTGTACAGTTTTGGGTATTTAATATGAATGTGCATGAAGATTCAAATGACAGCACACTTAAAAAAAAATAAAATAAAAATAAAATAAAATAAATATTGGTATGTGTATGAGGTTTGTAACAACACTGAACAGGATATGACCATTTTATGGCATAGACATGCACATCATACATTATCTATTCATAAGGGGGATTACTTTGGATAAGGGCTGGATGCAACATGAATAAATCAGACTCTTACAGGGATGAGTCTGTTCAAACAGAAAATTGATATATGCAACGATTCGCGACACATCAGTGTGTTTTTGCCCTTTTGAGTAAGGGTTAGAAAAAATGGAAAGATTTTTCTCGATGTGTAGGAGCATTGAGTTTTTAAGATGGTGAGACTTACCTTACATAACGTCTGAAATGCTTTGTCGTTACCAGCGCCTATGATCAGATACCCATCAGCAGTCTTAAATGCCTGTTAGAAAAATATAACCAACTGTATCAAAACAATGTTAACCCGTTCACAACAGGATTCTGTAAATCACCTGCCTGTATTTAAAAAAACATGGCAAAAACTTTACATAGTGGTCGCTGTGTATCAGCTTTTCAAACCGAGGTGCCACGAGACAAATTAATGAAATTTGTAAAAACAAAAAGTATGGAACCACTACGTATTTTCACGAAGAAATACAATTTTTAAGACAATTACATTTTTTGCCTCGCTCGCTTGCAACATTTAGAAACACTATGCCCGGGTGGCAGAAGGGCGTTTGAGGGTGCCACGAATATTAAAATGTTGCAAAAACGCTGCTCTATAATATAGAGCAGCGTTTTTTATATTATAATATAATGGCCACCCTTCTTTAGAGGTCAACTTTTCCCTTTACGATGAAACATATCTTGTACATGCTATCTTAAATCTCCTAAGCCATTGTGTGGCCTTTTTACATATGCTTTAAGCAGTCAATAAAATCTGTTCAGAAAATCATCTTAATTTGCTCCATTGTTGACCTTTTTGGCAGAATGGAACTGTTGCGTCATATACAGTACATTTTACACAGAGAGTATACAGTGAAACCTGCTTCAGCGACCACCTGTATAGAAAGACCACCTGTGTATAAACTTATAAAGACGACATTTTCAATTACCCTTGAATATTTTTGTTCTCGTTGAAACATGCCCTAAAAAAACCTTTACATAAACACTACCTGCCTATATAAGGCCACTTCTCTTGCCTCCCTTCAGTGGTCTTTATATACAGGTTTCACCGTAGATAAATGTATTACCTGATATGGTACTATGCTTTCATGTTGGGTGCCTCTCCTCTTAGCCTCCCTACCATCCATTAGGTAATTTGTAGCAAGGTGGGTTAATAATGAAACCTATCAACGACATAAAAAACAATCATATACCAATATGAAAAAGACCTATCCACTTTTTATTTGCATATATCAAATTTGTACCTGTACGTTACATTGTAGAAAGATAATGTATGAGCAATGTAGGCAAAGGTGGGAGGGACATAGAGGGGAAGAGGAATAATTATAAGGAGAACAGATGGTTAAATGGGGACAAGAAAGAGAGAGAGAGAGAGCGCAGATAAATTATTAGTCTCAGGTCAGAAAGAGAGAGAGAGAAAGAGAGAAAGGGAGAAAGAAGAAAGAGAGAGAGAGGGGGAAAGGGTGAGGGAGAGGGGGAGAGAAAGGGAGAAAGAGAGAAAAAAAAAAAGAGAGAGGGAGAGAAAGAGAGAAAGAAGAAAGAGAGAGAGGGAGAGAGAGAGAAAAAGAGAGGAAGGGAGAGAGAGAGAGAGAGAGAGAGGGAGAGGGAGAGAGAGAGAGAAAGAGAGAAGAGAGAGAGAGAAAGGGAGAGAAAAAAAAAAGGGAAAGAGAGAGACCCACACAAAGGGAAAGAAAACCGGGAATTAGTACATACAAGTAGGAGCACACATTTTTATAAACTGGGAGGTACAGCCTGCACATGATCATCCATTGGATTCTCTATATACATTCCCATACCTGTGTTGATAAGAGATTGGTATCAATTCTCTGGCCTTCCCCTGTCTGCATTCTGTGTAATAGAGCTGCTAGAATGGCACCTTTGGCGTAGAGACCGGTGGACAGATCTGTCATAGCCACACCTACTTTGCATGGATCCCCTTCCTATCCATATACAGTAGAAGAAAATTAAAAAAAAAAATAAATATATATATATATATATATATATATATATATGTTTACCACCAGTATTGTTAGTTGAACTTCATAGAAAAAGCAAAAAAATTCAAAATCAAATTGTTTCTCATGGGTTAGAGCCCATTTGTGAATTTGAGTCCTACAAAAGTCCTACAAAAGTTTCGTCAGATTTCTTCGATATTAAGCATTAAATAGTGATACTTACAAATCTAATATGGTTTATATTTTTCATCTTTAAATAGGATATTCACTAATAACAGGAGAAAAATAATTTATGTTTTAGCCATGGATCTAAATAAGAAAAAGCCCCTGTCGCTTGTGAAACCCATAAGCAGCTGCAAGAGAAAAAAAACTGTACGAACCTCTGTCATGTGATGGTAATGCCACTAGGGGAATGATAAAGAGGAGCAACTAGCTCTATACAGAGTTTTTTCAAGAAAACTTACTCTCAGATTTATCAAGCATCATGACTGGAGCACATTTATTTTTCATTTTGACATTCTCAATTTCAAAAACAAAAATATGTCACCTCACTCTGAATATATCTGTTTATTTAATATCATATTCATCTTTATGCCTATATCAATTCAAACTAATTGTCCTGGTTGAAAAAAGCTAGAAAGTAAATGAGTGCCTCCATGCTTCTCATTTTGTCATACACATACCTGTGGCCCTGTGATATTCATTAGTCCTCCCAAGCCTGCCGCTATGAGGTCATAGCCACCCCTCTCCGAGTATGGTCCAGTCTGGCCATAACCTACAACAAATAAAATGAGATCATTCAGCATTCAAACAAAGCTTTTGTCTGTTAAAGGTACTATGTCCCATTTGCAGGTCAAAACAATGAAAAGCTTAAATTCCAACGGCATTTGAAAGACAATACTTATTTAGAACTTCCCTCAAAATGAAAGGGTTTGAAAATGGCCTTTTGTGGGAAAATAATGACCATTAGTTGTCGAAACGACATAAGTGATTGCAATCACCTAAGTAATAGTCTGACACATGTACATAGCATCTTTGAGAGCCAGAAGGCTATACACTTCGGTGTTAATGTGCACCAATCACAAAAACAATGTACATTGATTTCTTGTCATAATTGTTCATAGTGATTGTTCTGTTGGAAATTAAAATAAAACTGAAACTGAAACTAAGGGATTCCCTGTCGCTAGCTGGATTCGACTACTTCTACAAAGAGATATTGCAGTTTAATACACCCTCAGTGTAACAACTCAACAATAATACAACTTGTTGAGTAGATTTGTAAACACATACGTTTGCACTCGCACATTAGAATAGCTGAGGTTAGAATGACATTGCATGAGGAAAATTCTGAATTTGTAGGTGATTGTATATTACATTCAACAACAGGATGCATTCAATATTTGTTGTAGAAAATTTAGGATATTTTTGTTCATGTACCGGTATGCCTTGTTTATCTCGCCATTCCTCTCAATGAGTTTCATACAGCCCTGGGTTGGGTGGGATGGGGTTTTGAAAAGTGGGAAAGCGTTTCAAAAGCCACTGTAAATGCCAGTTTGACTGAAAAATCCCATGCGTTCTACAACTCACCGTCTTATTAAGACCAAATGGATGTACACGCATATGTAGGACCAATGAGACGTAGGACCTATAGGATTAAACTGGGGTGTGTAGGACCAAACGGGACTGATAGGGAATAGACCAATGGAATTCTCAACTAAACCCTTTCCACAAGCTACATGTAGAGGTGGTGTGGTCTAGTGGCTACGTCACCGGACTGTGGATCACATGGTTCCCGGTTCAAGTCCCGCCGTGGCACTAAATGTCCGTTGGCAAGACATTAATCTACATTTGCCAAACCGTACTCCATCCAGGTGAGGTAAATTGGTACCTGGAAGGAAGAAATTCCTGAAATGCTGGAGCACCTTTCCATGGTAGCTCATATAATTGCAGGGCCCTCAGGGAGAATAGTATGAATAAATATGAGGCTACCCTGGGTAAACGAGACATATTATATTAATATTAATTTTAATATTATTATTATTACCTGTATCAGACATCTGAGCAGTGGTTTTATAAAATCATATCACACTTGTTGTAATCCTAAAAGAGCTAATCAGTAAATATAAGACAATATTACCCTCTCATGAAAAAGCCTAGGACTTTACATGTTAAAAAAGCAGTAAATATAAGACCAAATTGACCGACCGTGCCATGTTTTGTCATTTTCATTGCGCATCTATTATGAATCAAGAACCTGTGCACTATTATGACGTAATAATCACACCAAAGGCACACTGTCTGCAGGGTATCAACATTTTTGGCAAGCACGGGATGCAGAGCGCTAGTTTGACAAAGTTTCTTCAGTTCTTTGAGATTATCATGGTTGATTTATTTATTCGCTCTAGATGTCTGCTCTGGATAACAATAACAATATTGACTGGCTTAGCTTTTGGGAGATATCACATATATTGCCCTCACAAGACTCATATTTCCCTCGTCTTTGACTCGGGGCAATATGAGTCTAGTTTTGGCAATATATGTGATATCTCCCTCAAGGCCAGTCAATATTATATAATTATGTACTACCTCTTCTAGGTTCTGAGATTAGGCAATGAGTTCCACAGACCCTCTCACCTGTAATTGAACAGTAGATAAGACCAGGATTGGTTTCTCTGAGGCTGTCATACCCTAGGCCTAGCTCCTCCAGCTTGCCAGGGATGTAGTTCTCCAGGAGTACATCACTGGATGCAACTAACTGGTAGAATGAAATGTTAAGTAAAAAAAACTATATTTTTATATTTGCGTCAATATCCATGATCAAGGTAATTACAAAGTCCTCATTACCCTGGCTTCAACCAAGCTACATGTACATGTAACTTCCTACCAGGTACTCATTTATTACACCTGGGTGGAGAGTAGTAAATGTAGATTATTGTCTCGCAAAAGAACATTCGTGCTGGCCTGGGACTGAAACCCTGAACCGTGTGATCCACAGTCTGGATACATATCCACTCAACCACTACAGGTAATAACATTACCTTTAAAGATTCTCATGTTTTGTAGGGGGTTAAACCAACAAAATGACTATGACAAACCTTCTGAACCACCTCTATTCCTTTGGGATGCTTTAGATTCACAGCGAGACTCTGTCGGTGAAAAAAAGAAAAAAAAAGATCTATGGTTGAAAGAAAGTAGATTGGTATGATTTGCAGTGTAAAATAAAGGCAATAATTGTTGGGCTAATACAAAGTAATTATAGATATTTCATTCATAAATGAACTTTTAATTAATTTCATTTAATTGATTCTACTAAATTAAATGGCAAAGAAACTTGAAGGTAGCACTTCAAAAATGAAAACAATGTGAAAAAATAATCTATCCTAGCCCTGATCATTTCTTTTAATCTCTATTTCCATCCTACCTTTTTATTTCTATTGACTGATAGAAAGTAGCAGCTTTCTCCATTGATGAATGGTGGGCCCCAATGTCTAGTCTCATCTCCAACACCTATAGTCAAATGGAAAACAAAGAATTTTAGTCAATCATTAAGGACGCATTATTTAATAACACTTCATGTTGCCTTGTAATCATTGAATCTATATTCTAAGCAGATCTGCAAAACGTACGATAGATAATTCATAATATCACTGGTTTGATACATATCTAAAATATCAAACTAGTTTTTTCTCTTCAGTACAGTTATAAAACTCAGGATTTGAACAAATCCCCAAGAAACAGATTACAAGGTAAACCATACATGCATGTAATAATTTTATGTAATGCACCGATATATACAAACATTGTAAAGGCACTTGATAGGTGCCATTCTTGTTATCAATAGGGACTTTTAGATTTGCACGAAGACAATGTGGATTGCTACGATCAACGTCCTTTTAATGCACTGCCTTGAATGGACGTCACACGTATCAGTCCACGCAAATCTAAAAGTCCCTATTGTCATCATCATCAAATCATCAAAATATCAACACTTGAACAAATAGCTTTGTTAGGACATAACACAGGTAATATTCATTCATGACTAAGCAAGTATGAATTCAATATGATTGATTGATATTTTTTCACAGCTCTTACCCGGCCTTTCAATCTTGATAACCTCAGCCCCTAGATCTCCCAAGAGCATAGAACAGAAAGGGCCTGCTAAAACTCTACAAGAATACAAATTAATGAGAAAAATTGAAATACATGCAATTCTAACTTTTTTAATAACTTAATTGTTCAATAACTTGCCTAGAATCAAACAAATCAGATGGCATGGATGATTAACTTTTCACATTAATAGGAAATAAAAAAAAGAAAAAGTCCTTTAAACGCTACAAACTAAGGATATATATATCAGCAGCTCAGCACACTTTATAAGCTTGTATTTGATTGATAAATGTCACAATTTCCCTATCCCTTAATGGATTTTCATCAAAATGTTACATGCACTTATTAATGCAAACTTGATGTCGGGTCTAATAGAGCTCTGTCTTGCCACAGAACATACATACAGGACCTGAACCCTGACCATATTGTTGCATAACCAGGCTCTGCCGGGGTAGCGTTCTCCCTTGCAGTCTCTCAAAACCCGGTCCACGCTCTCGACAATCATTCAACTCTCAGTGGGCTCTTACAAAAGTATATTGTGTAAGAAATAAGGTGGACTAGCTCTCATTTTACTCGCTCCCGCAATCACTGAATGTCTGACAGGACTAAAGAAACAACACTTGCAGAGTATCTGCAGTTTAAGTAACTTTGCTCGTTCCTGGTAACGGACCTGTCGCAACGACAGCCCGACGCTGACTGACTGACACGACAGCTCAACGCCGACTCACAGATCACAACTATACAGAACCTGTCTCAGCGACAGCTCAACGCTGACTGACTGACATCTCACGATGTACACATATATATTTCACAATTAACTATAACGCCCTCTATGTCTCACTAAATTACTGGGCTAGTTATGCTACAATATCAATGACAAACTCTGATCTAATAACTTATACAAATTATGATAACAAAATAATCTTTCTTTTTTAAAAAGCTTTCTAACCAATGCATTATGATTGAAGATTCAAGCTGCGATCAGACAGTATTTTGAAGAAGAAAAAAGTAGAATGGTAATGCCTACATGTTGTGATGGTTTATCTCTGAATTGTATGGTAATGCTAATGGCTAAAAAAACAAAACAACAATCAACAAAAACAAATAAAACACAACAAAAATAAACAACATAATAAAACAATTAAACAAAAAATGAATACCTTGTTAGATCAACTACTCTGATGCCACCAAGCGGTGAGGAAACAGATGAGAGACATCTAACTGTGACAAATATTGAGAAAGGATATCATCATTTCTCAATCGTGTTTTACAAGCTTCCTACGGCCTATACTCAACAAGTTATGTCTTCACTCCTACAATCACGAACATTAGGTATAATCTACTTAATTGAATACACTAAAATAAAATAAAACAGCAGTGTAATGGATTAATAATAGAAAATTTCATTGAGGTATAGATTATTCCACCGGCCACCGCATCATGAATGATTAAAAACTCCAACTCTCTGAAATGATTAAACCTCGACGGGCGCGGCGTGCGGGCTTGTAATAAGCCAAGACTTAAATTAATCTGTAGATCTAGAACCCTAGATGAGTCTCTATCTTAATTAAAACCTAAAATTAATTCCGAATCAGTTTTTATCAGCCAAAGGCCATTTCATTCGGTAAAGACTTCAAACTTCCTACTAGTACTAACATCGATGTGAGCACGTGGGGCAGTACAACACAACACAAGGCTCGTTTTCCTTAATTTCTCTCTAAATTAATTATAATCAGTGTATAACAGGTAACTACATGCTTACGTTTCTGTCTCCTTGCTAACCAAGATGTGAAATTTCCTCTAAAACCAACGACCCGCATGCACTTCTTTGCATGTGCAAGCTTCATATTCATTTTTTACGTATTCTCCTTCAATCGCGAATCGTACACTTTATAAATAAGGGGGCGGGGTTTCAAATCGACCCCGCCCCATATAGATATCAGATCAGGGGAGAAATAATCAGAGTGAATAAAAAATAGAAGTAGACAGCAACAAAAATCTCTCTTAAAAGATTTCGTTATGGACCCCCTTTTAATTGACTCAAATACCCCGCTATATAACCCCCCTATTTCGCCCCCCCCCCTTTGATCCCAACCTCCCGGATATATGGGTCGTTATAATTTTCATATCGCCTAGCTAGTACCACTTATTCTTCTCTCTCACTTGTCTCCCCCTCACCCTCTCCTCGTATCTTCTCCCTTCCCTCTCTATACCCCCCTTTTTCCCTCTACTTTCTCTCTCGCGACCCCCCCCCCCCTTTCTCTCCTCTCTCTCTTCTCGACTCATATCTCCACCCATACTCGATTCGATTGGACAGGGGCACGTACATAGTCGATCCACACACTTATAATTTTCTTTTAATTGGATGCTACTGATTCCATAATGCTAGTTGAAACAATCATGAAGTTCCTAAACGTGAATGCAAAATTTTAGAAATAATAATTGTTTTCCATAGCCAGAGTCAATTTGACAGACCGGCCCTTTGCTTATAAGTGACTTTCACAAAATATAATACTACATGCTTAAAATATCCACTGAGTGAATTTAAACTAGTAATACATTCGCCTACGGAAGGCTAGCTAGAAGGGCGTTTAACTCTCCTTTCAATTTATTGAGTTAGCTAGGTCCTTGGCAGGCGAATTGCATTTAATCGAAATGATACTATAGTCAATGAACAACTGAAAGTAAAAAAAAAAATGACTGGGTGAAGTATTGTTTCACTTAGAGTGCTGTACATTTATTAGTAAGTTAAAAACCAACATTTTAGTTCATTTCATTACATGACTTTTGGAAGTGTACAATCTAAACTCTACAAAACATTTTTTTTCTTAAGTACAAAACAGTATGTTCTCTCAAGATTTAATAATATATACATTGTATGTTACTCATTTGAATGACTCCGCAAGTCCGCAACTTGTAATTAGAGACTTTATTTTCTATTATGATCTACGCCTCTTCCCCTCGCCCCACCCCTCCCTAACTATAGTTAGGGAGGGGAAAACGAAAACAAAAAATCCTTACACATTTCTTTTCTTTCTTTCTTTCTAGGTTTCAATATTTACATTTTGAAAACGGAGTGAAATGCAGGCGAGGTGGAAAGGTTGCCACTGGATCTATTTACATAATTTATACATGTGTGTTATCAAACTTCATTCAAATAAACCAATAGTCTAGTAGTGAACTTGGTCAATAATCACTAGTTCCCTATTATCTACATTATCTATAAACTAAATTTAAACTTATTCGATATGGTAAATATACACAAGACTAAACTATAACGTTTTATCACAAATTTCTCCAAATTAACTATGTAAACAAATTGAAAGAAACTTTACATAAAAAAAAATCAATACCCAATTGTCGTCCAGTTATTTAAACTGTAAAAAAAACTCGAAGTAACACGACCGCGAAGAATTTCGATAATTCAACAGACGGCATTCATTGCAGCTTTATCTACCACCTTTGCAAGTGTGCTTTGACGTACACATATTACGTAATCCAATCACGATTTATATTGGTTATACTATGAGCTGCTATTGATTATACTTGAGGTAATTTCTAGAAAGCCTTTGCGATTGCCTCTTTTTATAAGTGTTTCCTTGCTCAAATGGTTTTATTCATAACACCAAACGATCCAGGAGCATATCAAATATTCTAGTGTTTCCTTTAAAAGCGTTGTTTGCAAACAGTTTTTAGGCACCTTTACCTATCAAAATTCTCTATAGCACCTCAAGAGCCGCTGAGATTTCAAATTTAAGGATATTTTCAGGGCTTTTGTGGGGGTTGTAGGCGGCATAGTCCTCATGCCTGTTTAAAATATGTATTTTTAAAGGGAAAATCACGTCTTAAGCCAGATGCAACCAACTATTCTCCTCCCCATTATTATTTTTTTTAATGGAGTATGAATTAAAATAAACAATCTAATTTTATGGCACTATGTCGGACACTAAGTCCGACACCATTGACAAGACTAAACTATAAGAGGCAAAACTGATTGAGACGCTGGTAGAATCAAGTTGACATTAGGTACGTTGCCTTTTCCTCTATTTGACACTGCTTGCTGTATTTTCGATAGACATTTTATGTCGGATGCGCTCTTTTTCACATCACCCTTTTGGGATTTCAAGCCAAAATTTGAATATTCTGGACGTCATGGACATGTAATGCCTCTTAGCTTGTCGATCTTGTTTAATTATTTGATGGCTTCTTTCTGACCTCAAATGCTTCTTCTCACTAGTTCCTTAGATTTCAATGTGATCTTAACTGAGCGACCATGAGGCTTACAGTTTCATGTTTTGGTACGTGGCTTCGGGTTCAACCCATGAAGCAATTGGTTTTTCTCCTTGGCATTTACCAGGATCAACGTCTACATCACTTAGATTTCCATAAACGTTGTCGTTGATTAGTTGAATGTCCAAAGAATTTGGAGGATCTGATGTTTCTGGAAGATTCAGAGAACCGTACATATCTTTGTTCTCCGTCTCTTCAGCAAAGGCCCCATTTACAGTATGTCTGGAAGACTTCTTTACGGATGTCCTGAAGTTAAGAGTATCGTACTCCTCACCTTTAGAGAGTCTGATGTCTGTATTGCCATTTTGATGCTGTTTATTGCTCGAGGTGCCAGCATCAGGACCCAAAGATCGGCGTTCAAGAGTAAAACGCTTGTTGACACCAGCATCTTCTTGACCTGTGAAGTTGACCCTGCCCACATCTTCATACTCATTATCGGATACTTCACCATGACGTTCGTCGTCCTTTGATGGAATCTCAAGGGTGTAGTAATTATTGGGGTGACAAGTCGTCTTGTCCGACATAGACCTCCAAGCCTTGTCATTTCGGTCTTTCTCGATATCTGCAGAAATATCATTCATTGGAGCCTCCAGAGTGTAATAGGTTTTTCCATCACATGACGTCTTCTCCTGAGTAGACCTACAAGCCAAATTGCAATTCCCATCTCCTTTCGTGTCTTTTAAATCGTCGCCCACATTGGAAACACCGAACCGTTTATCCTCGATATCTGCATACGTATTTTCATGTCCTTGGTAGATTGTACAATCATCGTTCGTCGGAGCCTCTAGAGTGTGATAGGTGATGTCATCACATGTCGTCTTGTAATGGGCAGATCTACAAGCCCAACCGCCATGTTCATCTCCTGAGATGTTTCCCATATCGTTGTCCGCATTGGTGCCAGTGATGTCAGGGGTTGTCGTACTACTTGAAGGAGCGTGATCACCGTCGACCAGTATATCTGAGGCTGATGGCAAGGCACTCCATTCATCATACAGCTCGTTGATTACTAAACCAGTGTCGTCTACATCTGATCCTTGTGAAGAAACTGGTTTCGATCTAGATCTGAATAAGAAAGTAAAATCTAATCAATTGGCTGTCTTGAGTTGGCAGTAAAACACGATTAAACAAAGGGGAAGGGGTCGCACGATGATTCTAAAGTTTATAAAGGAATCGATCCCAAATTACATGTGATTAGAGATCTATTCTAGAACTTGTATGTTATATATTTCTATACGTTCTCTACGTTCTATATTTTGGAAAAGTATTAACTCAAAATTCATTTGATTACGTTATTAATATCATGTGTTTTCACGATCGGTTCCACTACATTATATTAATAAGTAGTGTTTAAATGAACTGCGAATATTCATCCATCGAATTTTCGTTGGTGATTTTAGTTTAAAGAAGGACTAAAATATCTAGGCTCTAAAAAGCGTTGTTGATATTGCATTGGTTATTACCACCTTTCTTTTTTCAACTGTTGATTTGATCAATAAGTCCATAAACATAAACAAAAAATTATTCAAAAGAAATTAACCTTTTTTAAAGGTTTGGAAAACCGGTGAAGGCGTCGATGAATCGAAAATCAGTGCAGCTCTTTTGTGCTCGTTTATTGGCATATTGAAAGATAGCAGTTCAGAATTTTCTGAATGTCTAAATGAATCGCTGTGCCTTTGCATCCTCGAATTGGGATTAACTCTTTATATTTTGTTCACTCCTACAAAGTTCAATGTGAATGATAATGTAACAGACATGTCACTACAAAGTATAAAATGCAACGGAAATTGTCAACTTTTACTCGAACGAAACTAGACTCAAATTATTAATTACCTTGTTCTCATTCCTTAGTCGCTCAATGTACTACAGAAACAGACTCAAGCAAACAATTCAAAGCAAACTGGTTCAGAAGATAACGAATTAAAAGAAAAAAACAGTAAAAGGAGACACTAACACGACTAAAGTGCTTAAGGTTATGAAAGCTTACATCATCTTTGCCACAAACCTGCATTTCCGGCGAAGGAAGATTGCAACGATGACTGCCAGAAGAAGACATGTAGCTGCAACCGAAAAGGCCCCATAAAGGATATAACGTGGAATTGGTTTCCCTGTTTTTATGAAAATAAGCGAAATATGATATGCTCAACTGATAGTGTCAAACGGATTTAAGGAGGCTGAGGAAAAAATGAAAATGATTGCTTTGAAATGTGCCATCTTGGCTTTCTCCTTCATGTCTCTTTTGATATGCTTTGAACTTTCCTCATGTACTTTTCAACTGTTTTTGGACATGACCAAGACGTTCCCTTTTCTTATTTTCATCTTCAATCTTTTCATTCTACAATACCTTGATGGGATGTAGACCCAGTCTGTTCTACCACTTGCAATGAAATAACAAAAGGTATAAAATTGTGTTATTGAGTTATAGGAAAAGGAGCTTTCAAAAACATCCATGGGGAAATATGGAGGCAATTCTAAATCTTTTTATTTACATTTATGTATATTTATATCTTATTGATTCTTTCGTCGTCTCTTTTTATCGTCCCCAAATATTGCTTTCTCTTTTCTATGTTATTCTCCTTTTATATTCGTCATGCTTTTTTTTCTTTGTCTTTCTTTGATATATTTGAAGAAAGAAAAAAACGCTCGTGCTTTTAACTCTGATGTCTGTCTCGTGAGTTATCAGTCTACTGGGATTTCCCGATCAACAGTCGTTCATACTTACCCGTCTGTGGTTTTGTTTTTACCGTTGTTGACAACACCGCAGTTGTAGGAGTGGTGGCAGACAAAGTTTGAATGTTGCCAGAGCTGGATGTTGACTGTAAAGAAACTTCTACAGGGAGAAAATTTAGGAATATGAGAAGTCGTTTAGTATTGATTGCCTGATTAATTTTTTATTTTTCTATGAATGTATACAATGAATCAAACAAATTGTTTGATATTGAAGCCTTGGTAGTAGTTGGACAAATGATCACAAGTCGTCTCATTTCTATTAAAATATGCAGGGGAGGGTAGGATAGGACAAATATTTATGTATTGTTTTTGGTGTCAGACATTCTTTGAATATTTATGTTTATGGTTGTAGATGATGCGATGTGTGTTTCTCTTAATAATAGTAACGATGGTAATAACTATAACAGCAACAACTACAACAGCAACAGCTAATATATTACCAATACTTATATAGTTTTTAGAAACATTAGTAATAAGCGCAATATAAATGGTAACAATACTTATAATTATGATATTATTATGTTCATTATAATTATTATAATTATTGTTATCACTATTATTATTATCTTACCCGAGATATCATAGATCCGAATATCATCCAGCAAAAAGAAAATACCAGGAGAAATCCTCTTGGCTTTGAAGGTTATCTGTTGCATCACGAAAGAAAGAAAGAAACTAACACAATCAAAAAAGATTTTCAAGAAATCAGTACATGATCAATTTTAGTAGCCTCTTGTATTGCCTATACGAGTACACATTAAGTGCGTATTACGTCGTGATATTTTGCATTAAAAACAAGTCTGTTAGTATTTTACAGGGCTATTAAGATTGTTGTGAGTCGATTTCCTGAAAGTATATGCGATCGTTTTGACTATCTTGTTTACCTCCCATTAGAATATCTGAGTGAATTCAAACAATTTCTAAAAACAATAAACATAACAAAAATAAACACACACACCAAAAAAACAAACAAAAAAAACAACAACCTTAGATTGCTATACTTATTTACTCCGCATTTGTAATTTTCTCAATTTGTGGATTACCTATTCATATCCACCATATATGATCTTACTATTCATTAAGTAACACAATATTAAAAATAATTAATTTTTTTTTTCTTTCGGGCACACCAGAATTGACTTAGGACTTGACATTTGACGTTTTATTACCATTTTAAATGTTTTTGTCTTCAATTGAAATAGATGGTTATTCATTTCACATAGGCCGATTGCTAAAAGACAAATGAAGAGGCCTCAGAAAATATAGTAAATGTGAAGAGTTAGAGGGAAGGGGGAGGGGAAGCTGGGGCTCACGGTTTGTTTCTTTTGTGCCCCCAACTCTGATTCGCTACTGGACCTTTCTTTTTGATATCTTTCATCTACCACTGCTTGCCTCTTTAATCCCAATAAAAATTTGATTTAATTTGTGTAATTTTACTGGTCTACAACATGGGCAATACTGGCATTCAATTCACACATGACTAAGAGGAAGAAGAAGAAAACGAAGAAACCCTATCACACTATCCTGCATAATTATATGCGACAAATAAAATACTTAACAAAAAATAGAAAACCTGTTTACGTGCACATACTTACACTGACATAGTTAGAGTCACATGATAAACTGATATTTTCTTTGTACCATGTACTTTGGTTTCGGGCTTGTTTCGGGTCCGGAGTCCAGTGATGTGTCCTATTCTCACATGCAAAGACATCCAGGAGATCATCTCCTCCACCATGTTCACCTTGGTATTGCCACGAGAATGTAATCCGCACTCTTCTACCAGACATCTCTTTGGTCAAAGAAACTTCAGATTGGTTACTGCTGAGATTGAATCTGTTGAAGCGTGCTTCAGGGTATCCTAATTGAAATACACATATTATGATGTTTTCAAATGGTCATACGTACTCATACAGGATATTTACAATATCAGTGGTAGGAGTATAGACTTGTAGTGGAAACTATTAACGATGATAATCTTTGTTCATTGTGTAGCATGAGAAATGCGAACTACATGTAGAATTGGATGGGGGGATGAAAGGTGCAGCATGGATCTTAGATATTTCCACCATGCGAAAAAATGTCTGTCTACCAGGGTTTGGTAGTCTTTTAGTCAGTTTTTTGTAAGCAATTGCTTACTTGTTGGCAATGTCGAATTGACCTCTGGCAGGGGGGGGGGGGGGGGAATGCGTTGTTGTGTCATGCCTACCATTCTTTCAAGTCTCTCCAATAAGTTTGTTTATTTCACTTCGATGATAGAGTAACCATATTTTTATTAGCAAGGTATCACAAAATATAAACCTAATATCCGAAAGCGAGAGTAAAAAGCACATGGGAACAGTATGACAATCTTTTTTGCTCCTTTGCTGTGCTGAATTAAAAATAAATTGATTTCATACTGATGTTGTACATCTTATCAATGTTTACAATTTAAGAAGATATGCTTGAAGGAAAATATTTCTGCCCACGCCCACAAATTAACGCCTTAAAAGAGTTTTTTCTTGCTGAAATACAGGGATCTTCATAATTTATTACGGAGGTTTTTTTTACCCCTTCCCCTTCTCTATGGCAAGATCTGGAGACGCCACTGGGGCACCTTCTTACAACCTTATCTTTGATCGTCCCTGTTTATATAAAAAAAAATCCATAAAGATTGAATAATTTTTGCTTACCTCTATTCCTAAAATTATTTTGACGATATTTTTTGTTGTTGCTGCTTGATACATACAATTCATGTCTTCTCAGAACTTGATTTGATAAATCTCTATGAAGTTTAAGTGTTAAGCGACATCTTGAAATCCGTCATGGAAAAAAAAACCTTTAGGAAAAACGATTGCCTCCGGTATTTACAAGAGACTAAAAATTACATTGCCATACAAATACCTGGCTGGACTACATCAACATCGTCAATTCCTACATTGGTTGTAACGTTTCCTCGAACTGCTTTGAAGGAAATCTATAAAAAAAAATATAAAAAAACATTGTAAAAGTACCGCAGGAAAACCTGTAATTCACTGGAACAATATGTATTTCTTTCTTTACATCAATTCGTTAAACAATCACAAGGCTAAAAAAGAAGCAAGAAATGAGTCTCTCTTAATGATAATTATCTAAATTACAGAATTTGTTGGCAACCACGAGACATGCAAACCATGTAAGATAGGTTTAATCTCAAGAGATCAGGGTTTCGTCTTATGAAGTATTGCGATTGATTTGAATCAATCGCAACTCTATATAAATATAAGGCCATGGATATGATATCACCTTTTAATCTTTTTGTCTCCATATTAATGTGAACACAGTGAATAGAAGATTTGACAATGTCATATACATATGTCATAAGGTCATAAATGTTGACCGTTACTTAATATAAACAATCTAGCTACCTAGTTTCCAGAGAAACAGTTCAGCGTTTAAAAAGAAAATATATGGCGTTTAATAAGATCTATTTAAAAGTTTTTAAAAACATTTATTCAAAATGTTTCAAGCAAAATATTCACTCTGTATAAGTAATCCCAAACCGATACAATGGCAGCACCATGCCTTTTCCATCATGTAGACCTATCCCTACACTATATATACACATTTGAGGTACACCCTTATCGCCGAGATAGAATTTAGCACTCGTTTGCTCTTCAAAAGTGCATGCCTAGTTCGGTATTGATTGTGTAGCATTCGTCATGCTTATATTGCCTTTAATTTGGGCCTTTTGCTTTCAAAAGGCAGGCCTTACCGATACAAGCAGTGATTAATATTACTAAATATGTAATAGATTATAATAAATGCCAACGAATTGTACTTCACGCATTATTTTAGAGAGTTAATGGACACTCCAACCATTGTAATAAGTTAATTTCTGTGAATCAGAAAAACAAGAGAAAAGATTGGCAAAAGTTTTAAATGAATCGGACGAAATATAATGGAGCCCACAGTATTGGAATATTTTTTTCTTGTATCTTTTTATGAATTGATTGTGACAATATGGTTTCATCTTGATAGATAAAATTTATCAATTAATCATCTTAAAACATTCATCAATCCCTATTACCCTTCATAGTGTAGGAGATCACTATATCATGCTATGCAAATTTCAAATTGGCAATTTGGTATTAAAGTGGATGTGACATAATCACGGACAATTCTTCTGTTCATCTTGTATAAAAACATAATTAATTTCTGTTTTTTCTTAAGTGCTTTTTCCCGTGAGGGTCTATTCAAAATATATTATGGATGGTATATTGTTATAAATCCTCTAGAATGAAAAGATCCCTGAGTTATACATTTTGAAAAATTGACATTATTGAGTAGGTCATGGCAATTTAAAGTTCCCAAACAACTTTAACAGAATGCATGACTTCTAATTTTGTTTTGGT